CTGTGTCACCCGGGGACCAAAGGGCTTGGGGTGCGATGCGGGGTGGGGAGCCGGGGGGGATCAGTGTCCGGGAGCGTCCCCCCGACCCCGCTGCGGGCAGGGAGAGCCACACCATGGGAGAGTCCGAGACCTGTGGGATTTGTGGCGGCAGAGCTGGGACCCTGCGCAGTCTGGGGCAGGATTAGTGCGGGAGGAGGAGGAGGTCGTGATCGCTGCCATGCTGTGTCACGGCGTGGCAATGGCTTTCCTGCTGGCGCTGCAGGGGTTGGATGGCCCCAAGTCGTTGGTGGGGGTCCACCTCTGTGGGCAGGGACGGGGAGTGCTGATATCCCCACGGGAGCGGTGCAGGACCTGTGGGTGCAGAGCAGCAGCGTCTGGCAGCGTCCTTGGGGGGGACAGGGACATGCTGAGTTGGGGTTCAGGTTTGACTGGCAAAGTCGGTCTCCAACCACTACACGGAGAAGCTGCACATCATCCCACTTCATGCTCATCCTTGGGGGCCTCAGGGGTGTTGGTGCGGAGCCCCCAAAACCCTGCAATGCGCCCGGCTCTCCCCCTCCGCTGAACAAGAGCCGTGCAGGAGCTCCCGCCGCCCATCCCCGTGGTATCCGGGCGCTTCTCCCCGCAGGCTTGCAGGACGATGGGAAGGCGATCCACATCAACAAGGTGCAGCACCGGGCCGTGCGCGTGGGGCTGGGGGAGCCCGTGGCCCTGCCCTGCCTCTTCCTGCTCCAGCCCTCCGCCTTGCTGGGGCCCAACGAGCCCCCCGACCCGCCCCGCGTCAAATGGAGCAAGGTGCGCTCGGCCACCGGCCAGAGGGAGGACGTCTCCATCCTGGTGGCCAAGGACAACGCGGTGAAGGTGGTGAAAGCCTACGAGGGTCGGGTGTCCCTGCCTGGCTACCCTCGCGACCGCTACAACGCCACGCTGCTGCTGCACGCCGCCCGCGCCAGCGATGCGGGGCTCTACCGCTGCGAGGTGGTGGCCGGCATCGACGATGAGCAGGACCTGCTGCCCTTGGAGGGGACGGGTGAGCCTGGGCGCTGTGCCGCGGGGTGGCATCGCTGGGAGAGCTGCGGGGACGTGGCGGGTACTGTGGTGGGGTGGCAGGGGTGCTCGTGCGAGCCGTGCACCCAGCGTGAGCCGTGCACCCCGTGCACTCTACACAAGCTGCACCAGCCGGGCTTCCCAGGTGCTTCATGCATCCTGTGCAAGCTGTGCATCCCGTGTAAGCTGAGCACCCTGTGCCGTGTACCCTGTCCAAGCTGAGCACCCCATGCAAGCCCTACAGCTCCTACAAGCTGTGGTCCCCAGGTACCCCATGCAGGACATGCACCCTGTGCACCCCATGCAAGCCCTGCGCCTCCTAAAAGCCATGCACCCCATGCGCCCCGTGCATCCTACACAAGCCATGCACCCCGCGCTCCCCATGCACCCCGTGCAAGCTGTGCACCCCATGTACCCCATGCACCCCATGCAAGCTGTGCACCCTGTGCACCTCATGCAAACCCTACACCTCCTACAGGCTGTGTACCCCATGCATCCTGTGCAAGCTCTGCACCCCTTGCAAGCTGTGCACCCCATGTATGCCTTGCACCTCCTACAAGCTGTGCACCCCATGTACCCTGTGCACCTTGTGCACCCCATGCAAACCCTACACCTCCTACAAGCTGTGCATCCCATGCGCCCTGTGCACCCCATGCAAGCCCTGCACCTCCTACAAGCCGTGCACCCCATGTACCCCGTGCACCCTGTGCATCCTGTGCAAGCCATGTGCCCTGTGCTCCCCGTGCACCCCGTGCAATGTCTGCACCCCGTGCAAGCTCTGCACCCCATGTATCCCATGCACTCTGCGCAAGCCTTGCACCTCCTACAAGCTGTGCACCCCCTGTACCCTGTCCAAGCTGAGCACCCCGTGCAGCCCATGCAAACCCTACACCTCAGAATCACAGAATCACAGAATCACAGAATAGTAGGGGTTGGAAGGGACCTCTGTGGGTCATCTAGTCCAATCCCCCTGCCGAAGCAGGGTCACCTACAGCAGGCTCCTCCTACAAGCCATACACCCCATGTACCCCGTGCACCGTATGCATCCTGTGCAAGCCATGCACCCTGTGCTCCCCATGCACCCCATGTATCCTGTGCACCCCAGGTATCCAGTGCACCCTGTGCAAGCCCTGCACCTCCTACAAGCTGTGCACCCCGTGTACCCTGTGCAAGCTGAGCACCCTGTGCTCCCCATGCAAGCCCTGCACCTCCTACAAGCTGTGTACCCCATGCACCCCATGCATCCCATGCATCCTGTGCCAGCCATGTGCCCTGTGCCCCCCGTGCAAGCCCTGCACCCCCTACAAGCCGTGCACCCGATGCACCCCGTGCACCCTGTACGAGCTGTTCCAGCTGTGCACCCCGTGCCAGCTGTGCCATCCGCTGCCCTTCCAGGCGTCGTCTTCCACTACCGCCCGGCAGGCGAGCGCTATGCCCTGACCTT